AATATGTATGTATATCACAGATTATTAATAATAAACAATATGATATTCGAAGCAAGGTATAAGTAAGTAATTGAAAGCATAGAAGAACACAAGTGAACATAAATTTTTGATTGAATACAACACAAAAACCTTTAGGAATACGATTGATCGGCGGTCTTTTTGGTATGTAACAAATGTTGAACCTGAATACGGATCGATCGCAGGAAATTTTTGATGAATGATGCCTTATTTCGAATGTACAATTATACAATCGCATATTATAGCCACTGCTTGTTAAACACGGTCATAATCGTATGGCCAATCACCATATTAAATTGTTCCATTTTCTCACATAATGTGATACTGATTATTCTATGATTTCTTTCCGAAATATCTCATTAACATAAAGAATAAGATTCATCAGTGTTGATAATATTTTCATATGCACTCGAAATGATCCCTTCCACATTCAGAGACGACAACTGAGGTTTAAAATGAAAATGATGGAAAGTGAATTGTTACAACTGGACGAATGCGTCTAGACAATACTGATCACCGAGGATGCTGTACGGTGTTCTGGTGGTGCAACGTGAACTGAGATTTCCGTTTCTTTCCAACCCTTTCGACTTCCCTGAAATAAAACTTGATAAGCACGAAAAAATGCTCAGATGAAAATTTTTAAATCTCTTTTAGAGTGCTATGAAACGCTCAGTCTCAAACACTTTTGCTGAATTTCGTATGCGAGTGAAATGAAGGCAACAAAATCGTCTTGAATTCAGATGATAACTTTTTAGTGTGCAATCAGTCGAAGAAACTATTGTAATTTTCAGTCCGAATTTTAAAATTTTTTCGGATGATCTACGAGCAAATTATGGATTATTGATAGACGCAACGGGGTGTGTAGGAAGGAGCAAAAATTCGAACGAATAGCGCAAATAAATTATCAACGTTTTTGCGCTGAACACAAGCGATGAACAATAAAAACAACACAATGCCACAAATCTTTCGTAAATGCTTCGAGACAGCTGGAATGTTCGACTGGAAACGTAAAATTCTTACAGCAATATAAGAGTGTGAAGGGATCATAGCGAATTTAATGTTTCGTTTCTTTAAACTATCGCAATTTTAGAGTAAAGCGGAACTAATCACAGCCGACATCACCACTATGCTCATTATGCTATCAATGCATGGAACCGATTAATTTCTGATCTCAATTATTTCGTAATTGACTGACTAATGAATCACTCTTGTAGATACGATCTTATCCACATTTTCACTTCATTTCACAAAATTAACAGGTTGGACTCAAAATTAACAAAATCAGCTAATAAATCAGCCGACGATAAAATCAGCCAGTAAAATTTCTGAAAGACATGTTAAAGTTTCGTTCTGGAACAATCGCATCAAGCTCATCATGTGATATTACAATTCTTAAAGAATATACTAACTGTGAAACTTTCTTCCAGCAAAGCAATTTTACTCGAGTTGCAAATGAAAAGCTTTAATGCTTCC